ACAGTGTAGGATCACACTCATTTTGTAAGATAATAATAGTAATGCTCTGCTCAAATAGTTACTAGCCTTCCAGAAACTTCTTACCATGTCAAGTAACTGAAAGCAAAATGTGACAACTGTGTTTTCCACCCTCTGGTAATACTTCCACAGACCACATGGTCAAGGAATACTTTAGTTGAAGACAATTGGACCTCATTCATTTAACAACTACATTGTGCTGTGTTAAGGAGGGACAGAAGGAAGCAAAAATGCACAGAAATTTTTTTAAAGGTGCTTTGGGGCCTCCCTGGTAGTGTAAGGAGTTAAAGCGCAGCCCTCTGTAGCTATCTGCAGCCACTGTAGGAGATCCATCCTAGACCAGGGAAGTAACCCACATGGCGCAACAGACCTCTCCTGACCCACCCCTTGTTTCTCTCAGAGGAACTCTATCTCTGGTGAATCCTCTGACCCCCTACACCTCTGGCCTACACCCCAGTTATTGTATGCATAAGTAAATAAATCTTTAAAAAACTGTATTTTAGAAATTTTCTCCCATTAGGTGCTAGAGAAAGTGGGTCCTACGGGTATTTAGTGGGTAGAGAACAGGGAAAACACTAAACACCCTAGAATGTATAGATCAGACTCACAACAAAGAAGTGACAATCCAAAATGTCAGTAGTACTGAGAAACTGAAGTAGAGTATTTCACACAATTCTACAGGGACCATAAGAATTAACTAAGAGCTGAATTATAAATTTTTTACACTATAGTAATCCTAACCAACATGCAGCAAGTGGCATTAACACTGATGCAGAAGCTTACTGCTATAGTTGAAATGCTGTTTGCAGTTTCAAAATTTGCTCTAAAACTTACCTTAAGTAGGTTAAAAATTGACCTCGGGCCCTCTCTGTTGGTGCAGTGGGTAAATGCAGCACTATGAAGCTAAAGCCACTTAAGCACAAGTTGGGCACTAGCCTCGGAGGTGACCCACATGGTGCAGTGTGCTTTGTTGACCTGCCTGTTCTGCTCCCCACTCTGTCTTTGGTGAATCCCTGCATCTCTGACCATACCCCAGTTCTGTATGCATAAATAAATCTTTTTAAAAATTGACCCCTATGGCTTGCCCAAGGTCACATAGCTAGTGACTGATGGTTAGAATTGCAAGTTTATTTAATTATCTTTGTTGCCTAAGTTTGTAACCACTGCCTTGTCCTACTTTAAGAGTCAGAAGATATGAAACTCACTCCTCAACAAGGGCTATTCAGAGACTTAGTCAAAGTTAACTGAAGAGAGACGGTAGGCCTAATAAGCAAAAGCCACATCCTGATAAACCATGCTCTTAAGAAGAAGACCCAACTTCTTTTTTTTTTAAAGATTTTATTATATATTTATGCATACAGAAATAGGGTACAGGCCAGAGGTGCAGAATTAGAAAGCTGATTCACCAGAAACAAGTGGGAAGCAGAACAGACAGATCAACAGGCACTGCTGTGGGGAACAGAGGGCAAGACGGGAGAGGTCTTCTGAGCCATGTGGGTTACTTCCAGGGGAGGGATCGACCTTGCATTGAAGTGGTGACAGCTTGGCTTAGCTTCACACTGCAGCGCTCTAATCAGCTGCGCCACCAGGAAGGGCCCAGAAGACCCAGTTTCTCACTATGTATCACCAGACTTATTTATTTTTGCATACAGAACTGGAGTATAGCCAGAGATGCAGGGGTGAGAGGTTTCACCAGAGACAGGGTTGGGAGCAGAACAGGCAGATCTTCTGAAATACACTGCTGAAGGGAGCAGCGGGCAGGACAGGAGAGGTCTGCTGTGCCATGTGGGTCACTTCACTGGCCAGGGATCTAAGTCATGCTGAAGTGGCTAAGGCCAGCTTCATAGTGTTGCACTTTAACACGTTGTGCCACCAGGGAGGACCCTACAAGGGATCATTTCTATCCTAAACCCCCTCGATTCCCAAGCGTGATAGGCGGTCCTTCCACGTGTCTTTAGAGCTGGATGATACCCCTGGATCTTTCCTCTTCCTTCCAGTAATCTTGAATCTTGATAGACATTCTCTATCCTCACCCTACTTAGTATTGAATGTGGGAGCAAGCAGAGTTGAGGCTACAATCCTCCTGGAGGATCTTCCAAACCACCAGGGGAGGTTGCCATCGAAGAACACCTTTGAACTTTGCCCTTTTCCAGCAATACACACCGCATTTTCACACATTTTACCAAGATATCATGAGGAACTATCAGGTGCTGCAGAATCCTGATAAAAAGCATCCAGCACTGCTCTGACCTACACATCTACTGACATCACTGAATGAGAATTCTCTTTAGAATGAGAAAAATTCCAGAATCAATGAAGTTCCTTCATTCTCAAGCTTTTTGGTTTCTTCCAACTTGAAGATTCTATTATTCTAAACCTCATGACTCAGGAAGAAACTTTGACACAGTGATTAAGCATACATGCCTGTGACTTTGAGTAAGGCACTTAACCTCTCTGATCCTCATTTAATAATATCTCACTGGGTTAAATAAGGTAATATGGGTCAATTTCTTGGCAAAGTACCTGGCATACAGAGCACTGAACAAATATTTGATTTTATTATCAATAGATTATTAAAAATAAAACTGTGGAAAAAAAATACAGAAGGTGTATGTTTGTAGTACAGAGAAAATAGTTAAAGATCACACATACCACATTCACCAGGACACAAAGGAAATCTCCCTTTTTACATGCAGTAATTTCAAAACAGTTTACTAATGGCTTGTACTCTTTGGGAAATGTTTTAAAATAAGAATAAGGGAAAAACACATCAGGGTCCTCCCTGATGATGCAACTGGTTAAAGCGCAGCACTACGAAGCTAGCGGCAGCTACTTCAGCACAAGTTTTGATCCCTGGCTGGTCTGTGGGGGTGACCCACATGGTGTAATAGACTTCTCCTGTCTCACCTGCTGCTCCCCTCAGCAGTATACCTCAACAATCTGCCTGTTCTGTTCCTCACTCTGTCTCTGGTGAATCCTCTCACCGCCCTGCACCTCTGGCCTGTACCCCAGTTCTGTATGCAAACATAAATAAATCTTGAAAAAATCTTTAAAAAAGAAAAAAATAAATGCCATGCTTACTATTCACTTTTTCCTTCAAAAGTTTAAATGTCCATCAACATCTTCTATTTGAAAAAGGGAATGGGAAGAGCCAACACCCCCAAACCGCCTGAGTTATATTTAGTCATGGTATTGGCACATGGCCTTCACTGTGAAAATTGTATTCCATCACTGCAGTAAAGCTGCCCAACCTTGAATTTGGCCGAGGGTATACCTAGGGTACACATATATGAAAATCAATGTTTGTTCATTTTCTCTACATTTGATTGAGTCAAATCTTACCCAGTGTCTAAGTTTTTGACATTACCTAAAAAGAAAAACCCTAATTAGATTACAAAATGTGTTGCTTACTTTTTACAAAAAGAGAGAACTGTAAAAGAGGAAGCAAAACAATAGCTACTATTGTACTTACTACTCATTATGTTTCAAAGAAATTTTAGGTGTTTCAGGAAATAAGCCTCAAACTGTATGCTAGAGGGAGCTGCTGAATCTACCTAGCTGTGGGAAGACTGTCCTGCCCCACTAATTTTAACTTGGCTGCCACTCTAAATCAAAATAGGCTCGGAACCTGTGACCTTTACACACCAAATCATTTTCAGAGTTTGGGCTTCTTTAGGTAACCAACAATGAGGATCCCTGTGATGGTCTGTATATAAGTGTCTTTGGAATTCCACAAATGAGTGTTCACTCTTGCCTAGGGGACATTGAACCACACCCAGAAATTGTGAAGTGCTCTCTCTCTCTTGCGTGTGTATCTTGAGCTTTTTTTTTTTTTTTTTTTTTTTTTTTTTTTAACATTTGCCATTTGTCCTTGGGCCAGAATTCATGTTGAATTTCTCTTGGTTTGTTCAAGGTTGGCACAAAGAGGTGGCTCCATAAGTGAGCCAAGAACAGCAAACCAACCTGTCACCACCCTATTCACCCTTTCCCATACCCTCCAAGGTTGGAGTTCTTTCTCCCAAGCCACTATGCTGTTTCCCTCTTTTCTGAAACAAATGTCAGGCATGTCTTAATGGCAGGTGAGTTCCTTTACCAACTACAGGATAGCTTTTTCTTTTAAAAATGTATAGTATCAACAAGATGTAGAATATTACCACCTATCCTGCAAAAGTGGGAGCAACATTTCCTAAAGGGTGCACTACAAGAAAACGTGGCTTCTTAGCAGAGCAGGTGTTTGTGTGCACATATGCAGGAAGCGTATGTGACACAAGGCGCTTTTATGGTCGGGTACTGAAAAGGCCTTCAGACAGCGGCCCAAGATAAGGAAGTGAAGCTAGCGAAAGTAATCATGCCTGGCAACTTCTGAAAAACTGCAAAAGGACCCCGTTCCTAGAGTCAGAGCTGCCTTCACCCTCCACTGGGAGAAGCGCCAAGGAACATCTATCTACTGTCTTGTTCCCTAGCTCAGCTTTCCTGTACAGTGTGGTGAGCACTTAGCGAAGAAACCGACAAAGCGCGTCGCCTCTTAAGTGCCCTTTTTACTAATACCCGGCAGAAGGCAGAGTCCAGATCCACACCCAGTCGCCCTAAACCTCCTCGGGTGGGGCGTGCCCCACCCAGCCAACCAACCTAGAATAGAATTACACCACATTCCTCTTACTATTTTTTTTTTAACTGGACCAATATAAATATCAATCTTTGCCTAACCGGGCACAGAAAAAAAAAAAGTCTTTTTCTTTCTTTTGCCGGAGATTGGCGAAACGTCCTCAGCCGTAGGGCCCCTGTCTCAGCCCGAGGAGCAGAAAGGAAAAAAGAATCCCCAGATTCATGTGGCCTGGCCCAGAGAAGTTTCCACTGGCTTGGCCGACTGCAGTTGCCAGGGTAGACACTGGGCTTGTAGAGTCTTAGCATCCCGGGATCTCGTACCATGAGCCCCCCTCTATGCTTTCCCCAGCAGTGCCAGGGAGGGGGATCCTACTTACCCCACAACGGAAATCATCATGGCAGCCACCACCAGGTAGTTGGTCTGATAATAGAGCAGGTTGCTCACCACACGATTGTTCCATTTGGAAATGTCCCTGAAGTCCGGTCGGGCGAAGCGGTCAGAGCCCGGGAAGAAATCGTCCCAGGCACGTAGCGGAGCAATATTCACGTCCATGTCGCTCAGCTTCTTGTTCTTCGCCTGTGGAATCTGGAGGCGGCGGCAGCGGCAACCGATCAGCTGAGCTGGTTTAAAGAGATCACAGTGGCTCTGCTTCCGTCGGCTCTGCGGTTGGAGGACAGCGGTGCAAACGAAATTAGGAGCGGGAGGGCGGATTGTCTGTTCTTTCTTTCGTGATTGGCTCTAAGTGGTTAACAAGAACCCGCCGAGGAAGGGACTGAGTATGACAAAGTGACGAGTGACAGAGGAAACCAGAGGGAATACCCTCTCTGAAGCGAGGTGGTAAGGTCTTCCCTGGCAGTCGGAATACAAACTGTCTCCTTTGACACATATCTTTTGAGTGTGTAACCTAGTGATGTGCGGGAAAAATACTGACAGCAGTTCACATTCCAAAATATATTTTTAAAAAATGGAATGGAAGGCGAATATAGTGTTGTTAGAGAATGAGCTGGTTTTGAAAACTAAGCAGTTAATGATCTCTGAACATCTGAATGCAGTGCTCATATTTTCCTGTTTCACCATGAGTCACTATGAATGAAATCAGATAGGACAAATGGGAAAGGACATGTAGAATGAAAAAGCTGCATTTGTTATTTCACTTCTCTTCTCTATACCTATTCTCTTGGGGACAATTATTAAACTATGGTTCATTATGATAAAGTAAACACTAAGGAAACTTCAGCGATGGGCTGTTCTTTTACTTACATTTTAAAGCAAACAGTGATCTGTTTGAACTAATTGTTCTGCACCCAGCATTTTCTGGGATTCCATTACAACAGAGCTTTCATGGTTTTACCCTAATATTGGGGGGAGGGGGTAACTTTATCTAAGTATTCACTTACTTTAATAATGTAACCCACTGCAAAGAGCAAAGAGATGTATTCATTTTAATTATCTTTTACAGGTTTTAAGTGATTAGAACCTTTAAAAGGGGGATGCATTGACTTCTTTATCTCAAATGCATGAGAAAAAAAGGTACTTTGGTTAAATGCATAATTTGGTAGACATCTCTAAGATGCTTCTGTCTTAGATAATGGAATCTCTAAACCTGAAAGTGGTGCTTTTAAAGAAAAAGAAACTGAACACTATCATCACACTATCAATTCCCTCCCCCCAAAAGGAAAGCAATAAAATACTTAATGCAAAATCTAGAAGACATACTTTAATTTTCCCTGATGGTGCAGAAGACAGTTAAAGAACTTACAATGACTCTAGGAGATTATCTTGCTATTCAGAAAATCTGTTTTTTTTTTTTTTAAATCAAATAGATACTCAACTTTAGCTCAAGTGATACTTTTTACAATAAAGTTTAAAATATGAAAATGCTCCTGACTTCTCACGTTTACTTGATTCTGGAAAAATGAGAGGGTCAAAGTTAGAAAAAGGAAAATTACCTTTTTAGCTCCCCCCATTTCCGCTGGGGACTGGGAGAAAGTAACTTAATTTCAGGGCCTACTTGTAGTACAGAATTAAGTCTCAGTACAGTGAAGCTCTCTGAAGCCATTGCAACAAGAGTTCAATCCCACGCCAAGGAGCTGACCCACATGACTCAGCAGACCTCGCCTCTCTTTTCCACTCCCCTCAGCAGTGTATTTCAGTACATTTGCCTGTTCTGTTCCCCAATCTGTCTCTGGTGAATCCTCTCACCCTCTGCATTTCTGGCCTACAACCCAGCTATTGTATGCATAAATAAATAAATAAATAAATCTTAAAAAAAATAACTTGGTTTCTTTATGTTTAGAATGGGGGATAATAAGGACACCTGTCATACAGATGAGGATAAATAATTATGTGAATAGGAAATGCTTAGTGTACAATAATTGCTCATAGTCAGATGTTATAGTTATTACTACTAATAATAATATAGCCCATGACTCATTGGTGTGTTGTTAATAGTGCTTTCACTTGATTTATTTTCTATGCCTATAAAATAAACAACCACTAACTTTTCTCTATCTTGTTGCAATTTGATTGTTGTGAAAGATTTTAGTGTGATACCAGCATACACTTTTGAGTTTTTTACAGTCTCTATGAAAGTGTTGTGGAGATTAAAAAAAAAAGGTGGACCCTCCCTGGTGGCGCAGCGGGTTAAAGCACAGCACTGAGAAGCTAAAGCCATTTCTGCATGAGTTCCGTTCCCGCCTGCCCCAGAGGAGACCACATGGTGTGGCAGACCTCTCCTGACCGGCCTGCTGCTCCCCTCAGCAGTGTACTTCATAAGGTCTGCCTGTTCTGCTCCCCACTCTACCTTTGATGAAGCCTCTCGCCACCCCTGAGCCTCTGGTCTGTACCCCAGTTTTGTATGCACAAATAAATCTTTAAAAAAAAAAAAGGTGAATGCAGCTTTGACCCCACTTTCAAGGCTCTTGCAATGTAGTGGAAACATTAACTTAAATATAAGCAGTGAAAAAATTAAAAATTAAATAATAAAGAGAACAAGGCATTAACTTTGGGGACAGCAATATTTGAGAGGTGGTAAAGGGAAAAAAGGAAGCAGAGGAGTGTAACATTCACAGAAGTGACCATATGTGGAGACAGTTTCGGTTTTGTTGTGAAGATTTACTTTATTTCTTTATGCATACAAGAGCTAAGGTATAGGCCAAAGGTGCAGGGGGTGGAGAGGTGATGGAGGGAGGGAGGTTAAGAGAGTGGGGAGCAGAACAGGCAGATCAAGTACAATGCACTGCTGAGGGAGTGGCAGAGGAGACAGCAGAGGTCTGTACCATGTGGGTCAGCTTCCTGGCCAGGGATCTAACTTGGCTGCCAACAGCTTCATAGTGCTGAGACTTAACCCCTTATGCCACCAGGGAGGATCAGGAGACACGTTTTAAAGAAGTAAGATGGAATGAGGAGACAGGCTTTAAAGAAGTAAGCTGGAATGAGCTGGTGAATGCACCTGCTCCAGTATGGTTAATCTACTTGTAAGAATAAGAAGAGAGAAACTTGGACACATACAATGACAAAGGTTGACCCTGTGAAGATAGAGGAAAGATAGCCAACAAGCCAAAGAAAGAAGCCTAGAACATCTCCTCCCCTTATGGTCCTCAGAAGGGAGGACCAAAACCTTGGACTTTGCTTTTCAGTCTTCAACCAGAACCGTGAGAAAATAAATTTCTATCATTTAATTCAACTAAGTAAATAAATAAGGGATATTGAGAAGAGCGCCAGATAGAGATGTGCCAGGCCTTGGTGCTCAGTTACAGGAAGTTAGAGGGTGTGGAATAATTCTCCTGGGCTCAAGAATTTCAAGAAGCAGCATTGTGGGTAGGCTGAGTAAATGATCTTGGTCAAGTCCAGCGTGGGCGACCTAATAGGAGCCCACAGCTGTTGCAGAGATCAGTGAGCATTAGAGAGCAATGACTAAGAACTTTGACCTTCCTGTTGCATAATACTATATGACCATTAGTGTTAGTAACAATATGATGACTATTGAGCTCAGGTGACTAAAATCTAAAAAACATTTGTTCAGTCTACTTTTACTTTTTTGCATAAAAATCCAGAGAGTTTTTTTTTTAAAAAGCAGATATTTCTTCATATGGCATAATTCCTTTCTCTCTTTCTTTCTCATGGGCAACTGGGATTAGTCTTTTTTTTTTCTCCCTTAAATATTTTACCTTTGTTGTTAAACATTTTAAATAAAAATGACTGTGTATGGAATCCTTACTTATTTCAGACATTATTTGAAATAGTATTAGTAGCAGCTCTTTGTCACTCTTCATCCAGGGGGCTGGTGCTGTACAGGCCTTCCTGGGGCTCTATACCCAGACTTGTTCTTTGACATAGGGCAACCCTGAATACTTGTCTGTATCTAAGTTATAGCAGTTAGTGTAATAGTTTCCTGTACAGCCATTTGAAATTAAAGTAACCTGAAACATGTGACCTGAAGAAAGACTGCTATCTCCTGCCAGGAATGTGGGCTGTGAACTCCATACCCCACCTACAAACTCCCCTTCCTGCCTGACAGTAACTTCCAGTTCACTGAGTGCTACTGAACTGAACCTGACTGAGGGATGAAAAAATAAAAAAGGAGATTAAATATTATATTTATTAACACCTGTATTTACTAAGTATTTATCAGGCTCCATATAATCCATTCTAGTGGTCCTCAAGCTTCATCTGATACAGAATCATCAAGGCTGTGCAGAAGGTCAGGAGACGGGCTGAACATTTGTAATACCTCATATGATGCTGATGAACCACTATGGATTTCATTCTCTCTCTCTCTCTCTCTGTCTCTCCCTCTCTCTCTCTCTCTCTCACACACACACACATTCATCTCTGAAAGAAAATAGTCCAAAACTCTATCACCATCCATTTGTCTTTAGGTGATGAGAGTATGGGTGTTCCAAACTGTTCTTTAATTTTTGCAATTTTCTTTATAGCTTTTATCTATTTCATGTTTTTCCCCACACCCATTTACACTGATTTAATTATTCTTAAAGTGTATAACAATGCAATGTTGTTGGAACAGTCCTAAAAATTAGAAAGTGAGAATTCTCTCATGTTTTGCCGTAGAAGGAAGTTTGAGCATATTATAGTGGCTCTTGCAGGAGTTTTTTCATAGAACATGTCATTTTATATAAGCACTAATATACTTATAAACATAATGTATTACAGCTGTATTTGCATGCAGCATAACAGCACTCTACACTGGACGAGATTTATTTAATTAATTAATTAATTAATTTAGTCAAGATTATAATTCCATATATAATTATAATCAAGAAAAGATGTATTGCCCGAAAGAGGCTCAGAGAAATCGCCCCGTCCCGTGGGCCCCGCCCCCGCCCTCGCACCCCAGCCACGGGCCCAGCTTCCCAGCTGGTCGGCCCTACTTCCCCGCCTGTCGGCCCCGCCCCCGCCCATCGGCCCCGCCCCGCCCCGGCCCGTCGGTCCCGCCCGCCGTGAAGGCACCTGGGAGGAGGCGGAGTACAATATGGCGGATGGCGAGGAGCCGTAAGTACCCGGGCTCAGCAGGCGCGCGGTTACGGGCTGGGTTGTGAGAGAGCGTGGCGGTGGGCGGTCGCCGCCGCCACCCGGGGTCTCCCCGTACCCCGCCCCGTCCCCTCGCCCCCCATCTCCTCGCGGCGCCCAGTATGTAGCGTGATGCTGACCCTTCTTTTATTCTCTCTTTTAGGGAGAAGAAAAGAAGGAGAATAGAGGAGCTGCTGGCTGAGAAGTTAGTGCTGCTGGGAGGCCGGGGCCCTCTCCGGGGACCCCCGCCTCCCCGACCCCAGGCCTAGGGGACCAGCCGCAGCGGGACCGGGGGGTTGGGAGGGGGGCAGTCGGAGCGCAGGCTGCGCGGCCTCATCCCCAGACCCCCGTCCCGCAGCCCCAGGTGCCAGGCGAGCGGCTCCTGCCCTCTCTTGCTCAGGCGGGCTTCGGGCCCGGGGTGCACCGCCGCAGATTTTTGCAGGGGTCAGCCAGGGTGCTTGACCCAAACGTCTTGTGGAACGACCCAGCGCCCCCTTGCCTCCATTCCATATTCTTAGAGCTCTAGTCTTGTGGAAAAAAAAAAAAAAATCTTAAAGCACGAAACGGGGATTAGTTTTAATTTTGATCTTTCATCAACATTGAGGCAATAGTATGAATTGCAAGTATTTTATGAGAACTATATATTAGGTATTGTACTAAACATTCAAGTCAAAGTAATTGGCTCCTGAAGGAGAGTGTTGACTCCAAAGAGCTTATTTTTCCTATTTATTACACATCCTATTTCTTATCAGATGCTTGGATTTGTGCTGGTGAAACAGGTTTAAACTAAATGTTTTCTAACCATGCCAACATAATTTTCTCCTCCCTACGTGGGGGTGGGGTAAGAGGGGGAAGAAGTAGTCCTGCAGTGGGTGTGGTGAGTTAGTAATTTCTGTGCCATCTCCATTAATACTTTTGAGTCTTTAGGTATCCCTCAGGAAGTTGAATAGCGAGAGGACTAGAAAGACATCCTTTATTTCATATTCCTTCCTACATTTCTTTTCCCTTCCATTTGTGCTTAAAATGACAGTTAAATTTGAATGTTTGGTGTATACCCAGTACCATACTAGGGCCTCTCTGGATTCTCTCTTTATCCTCATTTTGACCTTAAGTAGCCAAGAACAATCTACAGACAAGGTTTATGTTTGTAAATCTTCTCAAGGTCACAGGGCTATTAATTGTGGAGCCAAATTAAAATTTATCTGGTTTTTATTGCTAGTTTTGCTAATACTTCTTGATCCTTTTTGTAAAAAAAAAAAAGTGTTACTAATATACTCGAAGGTAGAAATTGTGAGGTTATAGGAAATTTGAAAATTAAAAATCATAACAAAACATGAATATCACTCTCATTGAATAAGAAAATAAATATAGTTTGAGGAGTCCCTCCTTGTTCAGTTGTTTGTTCTCAGGGTCTCCAAATGTTAGTGCCTATTTGTGGCATAATTATAACCTAAAACGTTGTGTTTTTATGGCAACAAAAAAAACACTTCATAGTCTGAAGGTTTTTAAATTAGACCTCATTCAGAAAAGAATATGTGAAAGTTCCTCTCATCCAAAAATAAATCCTATTTTTTGAATGTGAAAATGACATGAATTGTATTAGATTTGAAGCCCCACAATTCTGAAAATGAAGTTTTGTGGGTTTTTTTTAACTGATGTTTTCTGATCCAAGTGTGTTGAAGGAACAAATTGAAATTTACAGTGATCTTTTGTAGTTTCCAGGTGAAGAAAAGCCTACTGCTCATTAATTTACTACTGTCCCAAGTTTTTCTTGGGTTGCTTTAGCTACTCCAAAATATGTAGACTAATTTATTTCATCACATGTGCAGTTCTTAGCTTTAAATTGTATAATAACAACCATCAAGGGAAAGCGAAAGCATAAGCATAACAACTTGAGTGTTCCCTTTTATTTGAGCAGGTCTGGTCTCATTACCTTTTCATTTGGGGGAAACCATAATGGTTGTAAGTGTGGCTTTTTCATACTGATCTTTGCAGCTGAATTTACTGTGTTCTGTGCAGAATGGCTGTTGATGGTGGGTGTGGGGACACTGGAGACTGGGAAGGTCGCTGGAACCATGTAAAGAAGTTCCTCGAGCGATCTGGACCCTTCACACACCCTGATTTCGAACCAAGCACTGAAGTGAGAAACATTTATTTTTAAATAAATCCTCTAATAGTTCTGTGTTTCAAAAATAATAAAATGCTTCCATTTAATTTATGCTTATAATAAAAATACTAATAAAATTGTCACCTTGAAATGCTAAATTGAATATTTGCAATTGATTTTATTTGAATGTTTAATATAAATCATTTTTATATTTTTCATATATTGAGGACAGGTAACTTCATAAACTCATTTAAAATTGTAAGTCATACTTCATTTCAAACTGTAGTTTAAAATTATTTCTGACAATCATTTTTGTAGTCCTGCTTTGAGAAACTAATTTTGATAGGAAAACAGGTGTGCTTAATTTTTTAAATTTAGTTGAAGCAAGCATTTTTAAATTGAATAAAAATGCATGTTAAAGTTATGTGATTGCTGTATAATAGAAATAGAATCTGAGATTAATGTCTGATTTAAAGCAGATGTTAAATTAGATACAACTTGTTTTTCACTACAAAGTCAGAAAAGGTATTCTTTACAGTAAGTTTTATGTCCTGTGTGTTTATAAAGAAATATTGTTTTGACATAGAAATACTATCCTACTTCTAAAATGCATGCGCTTGGTTTTGACCCAGTGTCTTATCTGAGTAATCTTTTTAACCTTGGACAGATTTAATTCTGCCATTCTTTGAATATATTCTACCATATTTTCTCATGCTTCTGATTTTTTTCTCTGATAATTTAAAATACTTCTGTTGAATGATTGTTTCTAATTATAGTTCTACTTATATGTAACTTTCTAAAAGTTTAATCTATTTTTTCTTCCTGTAATCTAATGATTTCGAAGTCTCGGTCATTATATTCAAAAGGAGTTATAGTCCTTAGCTTTTTAAAAAAATTTAGATCCTTGAACATCTTGTACAGTACTTGATCCTTTGTTCCTATGGAGTTTTTGTACTTTTTTTTAGGAAGTCAGTTAAATAATTAAATTTAGTGTTTTCTACTTTTAAAGAAAAAAAATTCTTAATTATGCATAGTTTTTGTTGTTACAGATAGCCTTTTAATTTCATATAAGAAAAAAATTTAAAACATCAAAAACTCTGAACTAATTTGGGGTATTAAACTCCTGGTTCTACTTAGCTCTTAAATTTGAAATAATTTGCTAAATACCAAATACTCATCATCCCCAGTTAAATTTACATCAGAAACTGTTTTATGGTTTATTGATGTTATTTTTGGGTTTTGTCAACCAGTTTTAACATGCCTTTTCATTCTTTACAGTCTCTTCAGTTTTTGTTAGATACATGTAAAGTTCTAGTCATTGGAGCTGGCGGCTTAGGATGTGAGCTCCTGAAAAATCTGGTAATATATAAAAATATGTATTATTTTTCTTCTTTGTAATAATTAGTCATTTTCCCTTTTATGTTAGTTAGGCATTATTTTTTTTAAGATTTATTTATTCATATAGAACTGGGGTACAGGCCAGAGGTGCGGAGGGTGAGAGAATTCACCAGAGACAGAGTGGGGAGCAGAACAGGCAGATCAACGAAGTACACTGCTGAGGGGAGCAGCGGGTGGGTCAGGAGAGGTCTGCCATGCCATGTGGACTCCTCCTGGGCAGGCGGGGATCAAACTCATGCGGAAGTGGCTTAAGCCTCATAGTGCAGTGCTTTAACCTGCTGCGTCACCAGGGAGGGCCCCAGTTAGGCATTTTTTTATTTTACTTATGACCTTGCCTCTTCAGCCCTTGTTAGATAACATTAGCATGTCAAATTTCAGGCAGTAAATAAAATAGTTATATAACCTTTGGGACTTTTTAAACTCTAATGTTTTCAAGTATAAAGTTATTGGTAAAAATTGTTCTGTGCCCTTTAGCACACAAATCTGCTTACTCTTATAAAACACTCATAAAGTTTCCTGATGTAAATTATACAAACTAACAATTCATATTTTAACGTGTAATTTTAAATAATATATTATTTTTTCTCCTGAAAATAACCCAGTTAGATGGATAAGCTAATGACTCATACAGAATGAGATGCTAAAATTTAGAGTTATTTTATAACTTGCTCAAGGTTACTACACAGTAGCTTTTAATAAGTTCTTGTCAGTTTATTTAACAAAAATAGGGGGAAAATTGATTTAAAGATGTTATCTTCAGGTATCATATTCCTTGTAGTATATAAAAAGTAGAAATGCTAGAGTAGACTTATTTGAAAATGAAGCAGGTAACCAATTAAAGGCTTAAAAAGCTGACTGTGAGGCTAAAATTTAAGCAACCACATTAATTCTTCTAGGAATCACTAATGTTACTCCTAATGAAACTGTAAAAATGTAATACCCTTAATGATACTAGTGTACTATGCTGCATTCTTTGGGGGAGTGTAGGTACACATGGTCTCTGCCCTTAATAAATTGGAAATTTCACTGGGGAGACAAGTTTCACATAAAACAATAGGTATATGTATGATTTACTCTGATGGGATGCCAAAATTACAGTACTTTATCAGACATAAATACTCATGTAGTACATAAACCAAAGAATTTTAGAAAGGTAGGATTTATGGAGAGTGGGTAGCGGGTTTTATCATTTTACACACAAATCCCCTAAGGCTTAAATTAACTCTTTCCATTTAGGAAACTTACTTGCAAATGTAATATATACATACATACATACATATATATATATATATATATATATATATATATATATATATATATATATATATATATATATATATATATGAGATGACTTTTATATATATATATGACTTTTAAATGCAATTGGAGATTAGATATATATATATATGACTTTTAAATGTAATTGGAGATTAGATCTGAGGATTAGTTGTTTAGCAACTTTAGGAGTGACCTTGTTATTTATTTATTGCATTGTAATAACCTCTTATACAAAAGAAGGAAACTAAGGGTTTTCAGTTTTATCACTTACCTTGCTTATTTCAGACATAAGTACATAGAGGGAAGTATGCCTGTTTTTTAATTTATTGTAATCTCCCCAAAGCTTTTTCTAAGAAAAAGTATGTGACGTTAATATTGAGTAAGTATTTATTGATCCTCCTACCCTATAAGCCAGGCATTATTTTAGATGCTAAAAATAAGCTGTGAACAATATTGATAGGTATTTGTTGGACTTAAATTTTAGTGAAGGGAAAAAGCAAGTCAAATACACAAGGTAATAGATGGTAATAAGTGCTATGAACAAAGGAAGGATAGACTATAGGTAGCCTGGTAGGAAGGGGTAAGTGTTCAAAAAGACAAGTGTTCTTAGAGCAAAGAGGAGCAAGAACATTTCTGATAGTATAATCTGCAGGTACAGAAGTTGTGTAGTGGGAACATGGCATATATATTCCAGTACAGCAAGGATGTGGTTACAGCTAAAACAGAGGAGGGTAAGAAGCATTTTTCAGGATGCTATCAGACACATGATGAGAGACATAGGGCCTTGGAGTAACTATCAGAAAAGACTTTTGAAGGCTGTTCTAAGAACTTTGCATTTTATTCCGAATTAAGAAGTCCTTGGAGAAATTTAAGTAGACGAGTTAACTTGATCTGACTTTTAACTGGATCACTGGAATTCATATATTGAGAGAAGACTAAAGGAAAAACAGGAGGGAGCTCAGAGATTAGATAGAAGTTTGTGACAATCTCCTAAGCAGGAAGTGACAGTTACCTGGAATATGGTGGTAGGCTTGGAGGTGGAAAGAGGTCAAACTATGAAATATGTTTAAAGTCAAAAGGATTATTAGCTCATGGAGTTAAGGATGACAAAGCAAAGTTTTAGCTCTGAGCCACTGGAAAGATGGAGTTAGCATTAACTGGAAATGAGAGACTGGGGAAAATTTGGTTATGGTAATGAATTAAGGTGATTGAGTTTTGCTTTATAAAGCTGCTATCTTTTAGATGTTGTTTGTCTCGTGTTATTATTGAGAGTTCAACAGAACAAATAAACAAAAAGTATAGTCCAGAGTCTCTCTGGTTACGTGGGAGGAAAATTCCTGAATGGGGAATTGGAAACTAATTTTTAAAGCATTCTGGTTTTCATTCATATGATTCCCAAGGGAACATGTTTAAGGAATTAATCCAAACTCTGCCAAGTACTTAAGACAGATAAGGTCAGGGGGTATGAAAATTGATCCCTAATGACATTGACAAGTGCAGTTTGGGTGAGAGGTGGGAGCAGAAGCTTTTTCAAAGTAAGCTTAAGACAGCTCTCCTACCCATTTATTTCTTTTCACTTTGCAAAATAGTAGCAGCAACTCTCCTGCCCCATTAAGACAATGCAGTTGCATAGTACTTTTTGCATAACTCCTTTTGCTGATAAACTCAGCCTTTATATCATAAAACAAAAAACAGTAAGGTAAAGAGAGCAATTTGAGAGAACAAGTATGTCATCAGTAGGGACAGAAAGATGGGGAATTATTGACAAATGATTTAATTGGCTCACTTAAACTGATCAAGACCAGAAAAGCATATTATGGAGACTTAATTCTCTGATTAATTTGTACAGTGGTTGTACTGTTAGAATGCATGCCATTATTTTTGACAGTATTTTTGACTGATTGTTCTTGACTCAGTACTTTTGATAGTCCTTTTATGTGTTCAGTGTATGTGTATATAATAATCAGTTAATACTTCTGAATTGCGGCCTTATTAATATCATGTAAATTGAAATAGAGCTTGTAGGAATTACTTTTAACATTCTGAAAACATAATAGCAAGAATTAAATGCTAGTAAAATGAAAGTATCTTGCAGTAGCAAAGCCATACGTATTGAGACATGTTTGTGAAATGCAAAACTGCTATAGAAATTTTGAGTTACAGGCTGTTTAAAACTGAGTAGTTATAAATTTTTCACCCTTGTAAAAACCCTGAGATTTATGTACCTTATCAGGTGCTTGAATTAATAGATTATACATAGTTTAATATTAAGAATTTGTAGGTTTAGTACTATATTGGAAACAAATATTAAAATTTCAAATATGAGGAAATTTCTGCTTAATTGTTTTTTGTTTGTTTCTACAGGCGTTGTCTGGTTTCAGACAGATTCATGTTATAGACATGGACACTATAGATGTTTCTAACCTTAATAGACAGTTTTTATTTAGGTAAGTTTTAATGTCTAAGTTTTTTCCCCCTTAATTCTGATGATTGCCAAACTTGTGAACACAGTAGGATAGTGATTTTTAAAAACTACTAAGAGGACACTAATTTTGCATACTCAAAAAAAGTAATTACCACTTCCATTTTATGTGAGATTTTACAAGAAAATTTTGGGCATTTAAGTGAAAGTAGTTTTGCTTTGTTTTAAAAAAAATTTCCAAGTCATCTATGTGCTTTTGTGCCTTTAATACTTGGCATGTAGCTCTTTTCCTCCTGGTGGTTTCATAAGAACAAAATAGTTGGACTCTTGAGCCCTAGTGAAATATATTGGTACAGGTTCCTGAGCCAGGATTTGAGTGGTGATTCTGGGACAGTGAAGTGATGAGTGTAAACTTTTTGTAGAGGGGCAATAGAAGTGGAAAGTAAACCCAGAAGCTATTAAAATAAAACTAAGAGGAATAATTACCTTATCCATACATGAAATACAGAAATCACCTAGGAATGGATTGTTAGAAGTGACTTTAAAAAGCTTGGAGTAGACCATATATGCATATTTGATGAAAAATTCATTAGTGAATTTTAATACTTAGCTTATAAGGTTTTGAGTGACTTAGATAAAAGTGTTAATCAAGGAATTATTGTCATAGAGAGATACAGGTGTGTTCCCCCCTCCCACCCCAGTGACTAAAATAGTGACATAACTCAAATAGTACTGGTTATATAGGGTACGGTTACATTAGCAGAAAAGATTAAATTTGGGAATAGAACTCAATTTTATTATGGAAGATCTTATAAAAGAAATTGAAAGATGGGTAAAACTAAGCCAAGGAAGTATTGCCATTGCTATGTAAGCTCTACATTTAACTTTCAAGTTTTATATTTTAAAATGCTCTAAAAATGATACCATTGAGTTTGTTGTTTACTGGTACAAGGATATGCACAGTCCAAACTCTTTGCCTGTATCACCTTGTTTAATCTCACAACCCTCAGGATAAGGTTAAGTAATTAGGCCAAGGTGTCCTTTAAGGATGATATATGTGGATGACCATTCTATCTAAGGTACAGATTTTGGGGGCAATGATCTAGTCCACTAATCACAGAATGATAGAAGTTGCAAACCTTTTACACAGAAACTCTCAAGGAGTTTTGTTTGTGAAATAATATTAAAGCATATGAAATTTACTACATAAAAGGATTTTGAAAATTTACTTTATCCCCTTCTCATACAAAGAGCTGTCTCCAGAGTAGTTGAATTCAATACTGATATCTTGTATCTCAATTTATGTGAGAGCCTTCCTTCTCTATTACAAGTTAAGACAAAGTCAAGTTTTTAGCCAAGAAAAAGCATTGCTGTTATTGGAGGCAAACTTGAACTGTAAAAGTATTTTTCCTTAAGTTCCCAGTTTTAAATTAAACAATTTCTAGGTCATTGATTATTTTAATTTCTTTTAAAAGTTTAATCTGTTCCCCGATATGAAGGATTAAAGAAATATGAATGTGCTCACTTTCTTTTAGGTGTCCACAGTCTAGTGGGTTTGTTAGATATTTATATATCTAACAAAAAATGTGCTGTAGAAAGAGGTTAGTGATGAAGCACTCACTGTGTATACATGGAGTGATGTATTTTTTGTGGGGAATGTTAGGAAAGAAAATGCTGTTTGTATTGATATTATGAGAGAGAATTTATGTCCTTTCCTTTAGTGACCTTTAGAGGCCATATAATTTTAGCTTATTGAAATATTGGTTACATTTGCAATTTTAGATAATGCCTTTGAAATTGCTCTTTCTTTAAATGCATCAGTAGAATAACTTCTTAAGCAATGAAAAATTTTCTATTTAATCAGCAACATGCATGGGAAGAAGATAAGTTAAAGTTCTTCCATCCCTAGAATGAATCACATTTTATGTATTTCAGCTGGGACTTGAATAGTAACAATGAGGTTCTGGGTTTGGGGGGCATATACATGAAAGGATCTGGGTCTGAGATAATAATTTCCATTAAGAAATGTCACAGTGAAAAAAGTATCACAGTGAAGTGTCTAGGAAACATGCCATTATATTTTTTTACCTAGAAAAAAAGAACATATATTTTCATTTAAGAAATACTTAACATCTATAAATAATGAATTTAAACATTAGAATGACTGATTGTTCTTCAGAAATACTTTGCTAAAAATTCAAAATATTCACTAAATACTATGGACATTTAAGTTTGAAAATTAAACCGAATCATTTAGACTTATATCATGAATGATAATTTAAGTGTAACTTTTCCTGTAGGTCTAAAGATGTCGGAAGACCTAAAGCTGAAGTTGCTGCAGAATTTCTAAATGACAGAATTCCCAATTGCAATGTAGTTCCGTATCCTTTTGACAAAAACTTAATTTTTTTAAGTTTTTGTTTTTATCTTTAAGAGATGATTAATGATGAATACAGGTAAGCAAGATGAAATAAAAACCAGCAGCAACAGCTTATTGCTGTTCAGAGATCTGCTGATAAGTTTGCTTTATACCCTCATGGTTTTTTCCTCTCAAAGTTATATAAAAATTTTTGCCCTAATTTTCAAAATATGTAGCCAATGTCATAACTTGTTATATATTATTTATTGCCTTTAATTTCAGTAATAATTTCATATCTCTTACCAGATTATAAATTCCTAGACTGAATCCAGTTAATCAGTAAGTTACCATATGGGAAGTGTGTCAGAGTATATTTATTTTTACAAGAAGTGTATATTCACACTTTTGGTTTTTGTGTCTTTAGAGCTGAGGTACTTTTCATATTTTATAGAAATTTAGGAGTTAAGCATTACTATAATGGAAATCCCACAGGATGTAAAATCAGCACACACAAATTATATGTATTTTTGTATAGTAGCAAAATTTAAATACAGTGGACATATGCAGTGGCATGTACATGACACTCAAAAAAAAAGGAGAAATATCTTGTAAATCTAAGAAAATAAGTGAGGCATTTATATGCTAAAAGCTACAAAATGTTGATGAAAGAAATCAAGCATCTATATAAAGAATTGGATAGTTAAACAGAGTTTAGTTACCCATTCTTTCCTGGTTTGTATATAAGTTTAATCAATTTATATAGGAAGGCAGAAAAATTTCTTCTGAACAATTCTGAAAAAGAATAAAGTAGAAGGAAGCATATCCACTTTCAGTATTTACTATATAGTGACAATTATCACGACTGGTGTTTCCACACAGAGAGACACAGTAAGACAAAGAGATCAGTAAAACAAAAATAGAGAAGCAGAAATAACTCCAGGCAAGTCTTGACAAAGGTACAAGTTCAGTTCAGTGGAAGATTAATTCAACAAACTGTTAATGGAACTCTTAGATAAACAAAGGCAAAAATGTAAGTCTTGAATTAAACCTCAGAATTATAAATAGTAACTAAAAATGAACCATGGTATAAGTGCAAAATCCTGTAACTCTGGAGGGTAACCGGAGAAAATCCTTGGGATCAAGGATGCGGTGAAGTCATTAAACCACATCAAAAGTATGTCCATAAAAGAAAAAAATGACAAATTGATTGTTATCAAAATTAAAAACTTTTGTCCTATGTGAAAAAATTTAGAAAAATGCAAATTGCAGAACGAGGCTGCTTTTATTTGCTGCTGAATCAGCAAGACTCCTTGATTCCAAGGATTTTCTCCGGTTACCCTCCAGAGTTACAGGATTTTGCACTTATACCGTGGTTCATTTTTAGTTACTATTTATAATTCTGAGGTTTAATTCAAGACTTACATTTTTGCCTTTGTTTATCTAAGAGTCTGCAACAAAACATATCCATTTAGCCATTTGCTGGTCTCCTTGGTTCTTTCTTTTCAATGGCCGTTGTTCTGGGCAGTTAACTGGTTGCATTGAGGTCATTTAATGTTCTGGCCCTGCACTTTGAAACATAACTTCTCAACCTAGGAAAATCTGTCCTCTCCTTTAAATTGAAATGGGTATTTTGTTCATAGCTTCATTCTACTGATAGTAACACATTGTAATTGTCAACCCTTGCTGATCTTGCAGGGTATGCAGAAATAAGGAAAAAATTAAAACAGTAAAAGGTGAGATATACTGACAATTGTGGGTTCTCAGACTGAAAAATAATTGTGAAGCAGGTATCTAACAAGGACTCTTACCTAGAATACATAAAGAACTCACAAAGTTCAATAGTAAAAAGTGCAGTTATAACATGGACAAGAAATGTGAAGGGACATTTTACTAAAGAACATACAAAAGCACACAGAAAGATGCTTAACATAACTAGCTATAATCCAAATTATGACCATAGTGAAATTACTACACACCTACTAGGATATTAAAATTTAAAAATACAACATCAAAATATATTAGAATATATTTACTGCTATGTTTGATTCACATCCCACAGCTAATTTTTTTTTTTTTAAGATTTATTTTTTCATACAGAGCTGGGGTACAAGCCAGAGATGCGGAGGGTGAGAGGATTCATCAGAGACAGAACAGGGAGCAGAACAGGCAGATCAACAAGAAGTACACTGCTGAGGGGAGCAGTGGGCGGGTCAGGAGAGGTCTGCCACCTCCAGGGCATGTGGGGATCGAACTGGGGAAGTGACTTCAGCTTCTCAGTGCTGTGCTTTAACCCACAGCGCCACCAGGGAGGGCCACCCCACAGCTAATTTTAAATAGGGTTCCCTTTCCATAGTCTCCAGCTAAGTAAAAACTGATCAGGTTTTGTTGGGCTTAAGAAAGATTCAGAAAACTGATTTACAAGCACCTTTTTTTTTTTTTTTTTTTTTTTTTTTTTGGCTTTGCAGTAACTTGAAATCTTCTGGCTAAATAATTTCTGTAATGTGCTTTCTTCTCCTACCTGACATTTATTTCTTGACTTGATGGTAATGAGTACACATAAATTCTACTTTCACAAGGCTTATGATTTTATATAAACATTAAACAGAGTAGAAGCTATAACAGGCAAGTATAATGACATGAAGGTTCAGGGATGAGAAACTAAGTGGTTAGGGGACGAATATTAGAGAATAGTTATGTCGGAAAATAAAGAGTGTGGGCTTTTTATGAGATTCCTTGAATTCCACTATTTTAGTATGACATTTTTTGTTTTAAATACATATTTATAATTTGCTTTTTATGACAATATTAAACTCACTTTGTAAATAACAAACTTAGCAACTTAAGTTCCTTTACTTAAATTCAGACATTTCAACAAGATTCAGGATTTTAATGACACTTTCTATCGACGTAAGTTCTTTCCAAATTCTTTGTTTTATAATTGTCAGTTATTTGAAGACTTCAGTTGCTTTCTTCTCTTGGTGTTTCCTTCTTAGGCAGGTTGAATGAAAAGAGTGACATATTTTAATTCTTAGTTGGCACTGTTAGCTGCATTTTTTGCTAACTTGAGTAATTGTAACTCAAGTTTAGAAACTAAGCATATATTATAATACAGAGTTGGTTTTTGTTTCTTAGAAAATGTGACTCATGTTGTATAGCAGCTCTCCTAAAAACTAAGCTTGCTTTTTATTCTTGTAGAATTTCATATAATTGTATGTGGACTGGACTCTATCATAGCCAGAAGATGGATAAACGGCATGCTGGTAAACACTTAGTGTTGTGGTTGTCTAAAGTTCTTGATGCTATTACATATATATCATGATATTTTGAAAAATCAGTTTCAATTAAGTCAATATTCTTCTTCATTTATTGCTAGTCATTAATTTTCAGGGGACAACATAAATTACTATAATCTCTTGATTTGCTATTTTATTACTCAGTAATGCAGTTGCCTTATAGAATTACTTTGTCATGCTCCTTTTATTGAATTCTTACACTCTCTACATTTAAATCCTTTCAAATAATTTTCTTAGATATCTCTTCTAAATTATGAAGATGGTGTATTAGATCCAAGCTCCATTGTCCCTTTGATAGATGGAGGGACAGAAGGTTTTAAAGGAAATGCCCGAGTAATTCTTCCTGGAATGACTGCTTGTATTGAATGCACACTAGAACTGTATCCACCACAGGTAATCAGAATAACATTTCATTTGTTTTAGAGTATTCTGGAATAAAATTTGTGTTTATTATTAGTCTATTCAGTATTGAGGATTTTTAATTTTAAAGATTTTTAAAAAAAAATCATAGTAAATGATAAAATGGGAGATTCTGCTCTATTTGAGGGAAGATATAGTGATGTCATTTTTGATATTACTTGTTTTCATTTGTATTTTTTGAGTAGCAATAAAGGGATCAAGTACAAAGCTGTATATTAGGATAGAACTATAATCTACTTCCTTTGGTTTTTACCTGTAATTGTTTCACAGAAATAAAGATACCCGGGCTAAGAATGATCTTTTTAAAGATGGAACACTAATATCAAGGACAATTAGAATTTTGATTAATAAATGTAAATGTTTTTAAGTATTGACTGGAGTTGATTTAACTTTGTTAATTTCCTTTTGTTTTGGTTTATTTTATATCATCCGATTTAAATATCAAGTAAACAAAGTAATCTTATTTTGGAATTTTTTAGCTTTTCTCATGGCCCAACATAGCTTCCATTTGTATACCTTATTAATGTAAGGCAAATCTGTTTTTACAAGCAGGTTGACCAAAGCTAAATGACACAGATGTTACTAGTTTGGGTTTTTGTTTTTGTTTTTTTAAAGATTTTACTTACTTTTTTGTATGTGGAACGTTGTGCTGATCAGAGGTGCAGGTGGTGGGAGGATTCACCAAAGACAGGGAAAAGCATAATGGGCGGATTCACTGAAATAAACTGCAAAGGAGTGCAGCAGGCAAGGTCTATGTTGTGTGGGCCAGTTCCCTGGCAGGGGGGATTGAACAGTAGTAGAGCTGAGATTTAACCCCTACATCACCAGGGAGGTCCTGATATTAGTTTTAAATCCATGATTATGGTATAAAACATTTTTGTTTTTATTAGTAAAAGACTAAGATGAATTTTAAGAATTTGTTGCAAATTAGATCATTAGTAGAAGTTAAATTTTAAGTATTGATTAGAGTCCACTAAAAAAAGGCTAATTGTGGTTTTAGGTTAATTTTCCCATGTGCACCATTGCATCTATGCCCAGGCTACCAGAACACTGTATTGAGTATGTAAGGATATTGCAGTGGCCTAAGGAGCAGCCTTTTGGAGGTAATAAAACTAATTTCATGATTCAGAATTTATGTGAAATATACATGTATTATCAATTTGCATAATTACATTTAAAACATGCTGATTTATATTTATATATTTATGTCTTTTTCTGCTCTACCCCCACCTCAATAGAAGGCGTTCCATTAGATGGAGATGATCCTGACCATATTCAGTGGATTTTCCAAAAATCCCTGGAGAGAGCATCACAATACAATATTAGGGGTGTTACATATAGACTCACTCAAGGTAAGTTAGTAATTTGTAACAAGTTTATGATTTTTGGATCATCATAATTATGTGTATATGTTGCTTTCACATAGGACCTTCAATTTGAGATCCAGAATTAATCTTTTTGGGTTCCTCAAATTTGGTAGCAATGAGCTGAGATCAGCAGAATTCATAGTACTTCTTAGCCAGGAGGGAGGAGCTCAATAAAATTATTGAATCTTGCAGGTCATCCAAGTTGAAACATTCACTTTTATTTTTCACTAAAGAGGAATTTATCACCTACTAGGGCAATCTGCTTTCACATTTGGAGAACATTATTGGCTAAATTAGAATATGTATTGAGCAGAAATCTCCCTCTTTAGTTTGGTCTGATTGCCCCCAGCTTGACCATATATAATTTTCATTCCTTTTAAAATAGTAAGTAACCATTAATATATTAAGGACTATGATCATACACCCTCCAAATCTTTGCCATGAAGATCCCTGGTTCCTTTAACCCTTTGTCATATTGCGTGATTTTTCCATCCGTCAAGTTGTTTTCTTTAACCATATTCCATTTATTTATGCGTAACTGCTTTGACTGGAATGGACCGTTGCTGGGCTGATCTTGTTTTACATAATAGATTTCTGATAATTGAAGCAGTAGTAGAGGAAAGCATGGATTTTGTTTATATTGATGCAAGATTTTGAGATTGTTATATTCTAAAATCTGAAAGTTTTTGCTACATATGCAATCACTAGCTATCTATTATAGAGTTGGCAGGATTTTTTTGGTTGTTTTTTTTTTTAAACACTCAAGAATGATGTTTTCTCTCCCCCACTCTTCTCATGCACCTGTATGTATGTGCGTATATAATTTTATGCCTGCCAAGTTATTCTTTCCAGGTTCATTTCACCTGTTGCTTTGGTAATTATACCTTTTTGAAGTAATTAAAAATTTTAGCAAACCTAAACTGACTGAAGACATCTAAATCATGCTTCTCATCAAATCTTTTTAGTTTTGTCTTATTCTCTTGATTAGACCTTACTGAACACTTCATATTTGTCTTTTTTACAAGAATGTTCCAGATATTCCATTGAAGCCTTGTTACACTGTCTTCTATATTTCCCTGATTTGCCAAGCTGGTCAGAGTAACTAATTGAAACTAGTTCAGCATATAATGCACATTAAATGAAACTTCTAGGCATATAGTGCACATTTAGTAATTATTTGAATTAACAAATGAATTCAATTTATCCTGATTAACAGCCATAAATTAATTTCAGTATGTAATTTTAGTTCCTACCCTTCTTTAGCAGGGTTTGGGTATATACTTTTCAACCTCATGATTAAGGACATTGAGTGGGAGTACAGAAACAAAATTGTGAGGGAAGTCCAGCTTTTTTGAAGGGATGTTTATGGGGAGGTTATAATTTTGGAAATACTTTTATAGGATAAGATCTCCGATACTGCTCACTATCTGTGACTACATCCTCTCGAAGTGATCACTGGGGAGTTTACAGATTAATTATGAGCTTAGCTCCTTCCTACTTCCCCTTTTCTAAAATTATACATGAATTATATTGTCAGAATGAACTTTTAAAACAGCCTTCCAAACTTCTTTACTGTCTTCCTTTAAAGACTTCTTAGATAATAGCCCTTTCTGAAGTTTTTGAAACCTGTTTACTCCTGAAGTCCTGGGGGTACTCACTGTATATAATATAGCATAATGTAATGTATCAGTTAAGGTTATGCTCTTTGAAGACAGATCTGGGTTCATAACCAACCCATCACTTACTAGGTGTATAATTTACGTTCTCACATCATTTTTCTTATCTTTAAAGTCAGTTATAAGACTAAGGATGTTATGAAAACTCAGTAATATTTAATCTTCACACAACATGTGGGATAAAATAAAGTTAACTTTTTATTATGTTACTGTCTTTAAGCTTTACTACCACTTTAAGATTCTGAACGTGAAAATGGTGGCAGTGAGACAGAAGATTGTTTCATGGTTAATTGTGCCCGTTTTCTAATTTCAAAGCCTGAAAAATCAAGTTAAAAATTATGCTTCAAATCTATTGTTTAAAATAACCTGTTTTTATAAGACATTACCATGTATTTTTTTCAGGGGTAGTAAAACGAATCATTCCTGCAGTTGCTTCCACAAATGCAGTCATTGCAGGTGAGGTAAAAAGGTTACTACTTAATTTTGTTTTGATTCCTTTAGTTTTTGATCCAGTATCTAAATTGACATTTCTGCAATTAACTTCATCTCAGAGAGCTGGTATTCTAGGAATTTGATACCTTCTTGGGATAGTTAAGTTGACAAAAAAAAAGCTGTTTGACTTTGTGTATATTTTGTCTTCCTAATTATGTCATATAGTGAAGTGCTCTGTGATAAGAGGACATTTTAGTAGCACTTTTTCAACTTTGCTCATTAATCTGAAGAAGGGAAGAAAAATATGTTATGCAAAACAAATGTAACATTTGTTACTGTCTCATTTGTACTAAAAGTATACATGTTTTAATCTATTTTTAGTCAGTAGATTAAAATATTTTATCTATACAAATTGTAAATTTATGTGTCCTGCTATATAACTGACTTTTTTAAAATACTTAATTTTCATTGAGTTAAAGCACCTTTATTTTCTCCCCACTTCAGCTGTGTGTGCCACTGAGGTTTTTAAAATAGCCACAAGGTAATGGGTTTCATTTTTATAAAGATTTATTTATTTATGCATACAAGAGTTGGGGTGCAGGCCAGAGGTGCGGGAGTGTGAGAGGATTCACCAGAGACAGTGGGGAGCAGAATGGGCAAATCTACTTATATACGCTGCTGAGGGGAGTAGCAGGAGAGACAGGAAAGGCCAGGAATTGAACTTGTGCTGCAGTGGCTGCCAATAGCTTCGTAGTGCTGAGACTTATCCCTTGCTCTACCAGCGAAGCCTGGGTTTCATTGTTAATACATATGTAATACGTGATTTGGCCTCACTCAGATATATAAAGGTGAACATTTTTTTTCATTGCAGTGCATATATTCCTCTTAATAACTACTTGGTATTCAGTGATGTAGATGGACTGTATACATACACATTTGAAGCAGAGAGAAAGGTTAGTAATAAATACTAATGAAAACTTTTTAAATCATGCAACTTTGATTTTTATGTATTAATTACCAGTTAAAAATGCTAATAAAATTGCCCACACCCTAAACATTTTATTCCAGAACTTCTGAATCCTCTCTATATGTCCTTTGTATTATAATCTGAAATATATTCTATGCAGCAGAATAAGTTAGGGAAAAATAGTATACTAGGAAAAGCAGCTGTTAAAGCATAAAAATGTATTCATAGTGAATATGAGTGGTTGTAAAATAGATTTTCATTTCATTGCTAGAAAGAAAACTATAATTGGTACATGTGCCACTGTTATTTGTTGTGTTATGTATCTGTAGGAAAACTGCCCAGCTTGCAGCCAGCTTCCTCAGAATATTCAGTTTTCTCCATCGGCTAAACTGCAGGAGGTTTTGGATTACCTAACTAACAGTGCTTCTCTGTAAGTGTCCTGGACTTTTGTTATGTTGTAGAAATAATTTTTGTGAATTTAAGGCTAAAAAGTAGAATTGTTTTTCTAAAGTCATATTTAACTTATTGTTCTCATAATTACATTTAGACAGATGAAATCTCCAGCCATCACAGCCACATTAGAGGGAAAAAATAGAACACTTTACTTACAGGTGATTTGTTTTGGGCTTTGTATTTTGTACCCCACAAAATCACATCAGAGAATTTTTATTTAATGTGGTTAACATTAATTTTGTCTTCTAGTCAGTAACCTCTATTGAAGAACGAACAAGGCCAAATCTTTCCAAGACACTGAAAGGTATTTAAAATGGATATATTTACTAATCAGTTTCTTCTTTTTGGTAAAAGTAATAAATACTTATTCCAAAGTTAAATGATGATATCCTAATTATATCTTTGAAAACATTGACAATATTGCTCTTTTAGCAAATCAGAAATCTCTTAAGAAACCAAATACAGTATTTCCTTGATTAAAGAGCAGTTTTTTTTTAAAATAATATAATAGTTTATTTTTACATCATTTTGTGCCTTTTTCCATCTCAGTTGTAATCTCCGCGGGCTTCTCATCATCAGATTACCTGAGTGCCATCACCATAGTCCAGTGCACTTCCCTCCCCCCACTGTTTTTTGATCCCATTCCATCTCCATAAATTATCTCCAGTATATAGTTGTTCATTATTATTATTTTCTGCCCTGGTCTGTTATATTTCTGTGTGAATGAAACCACCCAATATTACTCTTTTTCTTCTGGCTTATTTCACAAAGCATGATCTTCTCCAGCTCCATCCATGTTGCTGCAAAAGGCATGTGTTTCTTTTTTTTGGTTGCTGAGTTATATTCCATTGTGTATATGTACTACATCTTTTTAATCTAGTCATCCACTTTTGGGCATTTGGGTTGTTTCCATGTCTTTCCAGTTGTTAACAAGCAGCAATAAACATGGGGATACAGGTGCCTTTTTGAATCAGTGTTTTTGTGTCTTTTGGGTAAATACCCAGGAGTGGGATTGCTGGGTCATATGGAAGCTCCATTTTTAGCAGAGAAACCTCCAGATAGTTTTCCATAGTGGTTGTACTAGTTTGCATTCCCACCGGCAATGCAGGAGAGTTCCTTTTTCTCCACATCCTCAGCAACATTTGTTGTTGCTAGTTGTTTGAAGATGTGCCATTCTCACTGGGGTGAGATAGTATCTTATTGTGGTTTTAATTTGCATTTCCCTTATTACAAGTGATGTTGAACATTTTTCCATATGCTTGTTGGCCATCTGCATTTCCTTTTTGAAGTGTCTTTTTAGCAAAGAGCAAATTTTAATGTTTATCAAGGTTGTAAATACTGTGTCATATATCTGTGTTATCCTTCTTAATTGAATTTTTCCCAAAGCTAATTATTCTTTCTCTGTTTTAGAATTGGGACTCGTTGATGGACAAGAACTGGCAGTTGCTGATGTCACTACACCACAGACTGTACTATTCAAACTTCATTTTACTTCTTAAGGGGAAAAAATTGCACATAATAGAAAACACAGAAATATTTCATGTATATGGAGAAATTTAATTGATGTCAGTTTTAGCATTAGTGCTGCTAGGATTTGACTTTTTTAAAAATATATATATATACACATATATATATAAAAAATGAGCCACTCTTTTTTAATTTTATAACTATCCTTTGAAGACAATTTTGGGATTGGTGATTGTAAACGTTTTTGTTAAAATGGAAAATGATGCCTAGAGAGAGAGATTATGAGGAAATGTATTGCTTCTTTTAAAGGAGGAGGCAAAAACCCTCTTTTGTGTGAATTTCATGGTATGGCGAAATGTATTCCTCAGTTTTCATTCGAGCACCCATATATGCAAAAGGTGTCCCTTTAAAGAAGATAACATTAATATTCAAATAACACAAAATATTGCAACCTGATATCTAGAGCATATTGAACATAGGCTCCTTCTGCTTGATTTAATATTCATTTAATTCATTCAGCTGTCCAAATGAATATTAATTATTGCAAAGGTTACCTTGTCCATAATAATTTATAAATGGTGATGTAGTTGAATACCTGTGCATGGAAATGAGAAATATTTTGATCTGTTTACTTGCAGTGCCATAGAGGCCAATATGTACAACATTAAAGCCAAGACATGGATGTTTAAAGGAATTTAATGTTTAAACAGTTATCACTGATGTTTTCTCACTATTTATTAATAAAATCATACATTATCTAATTTTTTCACTGAAATTTTTAAAAGCGTATTAAGGTTTATAAGTAGCTTTGTTGTAATGTAGGAATAAGTTTTAAATGTTAGCAGAGTAATTACAACATTTTTTTTTTTTTTTTT